TTTTATATATATATATATATATATATATATATATATATATATATATAACGATCATATAGGAGCTGGTTGTTTTGGTTCATGGCAGAGCTCATGGAAAACATGTCCCATATTTGACTTCGCTACACTAAAAGAACAGGAGAAGAATTTCCTCCAGAGATTACAAGAGCTACAACACTGTAGCAGCTCTAACATTGTTCTGATGTGTCTTGAAATGTCAGAAGATAATATCAATCAGTCAAAAGTTCCGAGAATATTAACAGCATCATGTCTTTTTTATAGCTCATTTCTAGATCTTTTTTTTTTTCTCGTGGAGCCTGGAACGTCTTTCTGCGCCTGGATCGAGTTTCAGAGTGTCAAAGTTTCATCATGAAAAGGTCAAAGCCTTCAGGGATTCAATTTTGCAAAAAGGAACAAAACAAAAAAAAGAAAAGGAAAAACTAATTCTTGAACCTTTTAGGACATAGCTGTTGACAGCCCCATCAACACCCTGACATACAGTAGTGACACTGCATTTTAGCCACAATTCATCACATTTAAGTATTGTATATTATTAGCCTAAGGACTTTTTAAAACTGTTATCAGAAAGAGGTTGATCAGAAATACAGGTAACACTTTATTTGGAAAGTCCACATTAGACATTCTACCAACTATAAGTAAGCAATCATTAGAGTATTAGTAGATTGTCTGCTTAGTGTAATGTAATATAATATAATATAAAGATGTAATACAGCATAAAAGCCAGACTAAATTATGCCTGCTCTGACCCACCTCAACCCTTAGTATTAAAGGTGCACTAAGTGATTTTTTAAAAACGCTTTTGACCACAGTGTCGGACCGAGTTCCAAAACACACTTGTAGCCAATCAGCAGTAAGGGGGCGTGTCTTGCAATGATAAAGAGAAGAGAGTGCTCCATTTGATTGCACAGGACAGATCGACTATAGATAGAGAGAGATGGCAGATAATTAAAGAGGAAAACATCAGAGAAACAAAATATTAAAAAGAAGGGTTACGATCAGGCAAGAGGTAGGACCCGCGTAAATATCAGAGCAGCTTTCCAGCGATGGAGAGAACTCAAGGAGCAGGAAGGGCTCGAATCGAATTGTTTCTTCTTGATATGTGAGTAACGGTGATTTTGCTTTGTTTCACACAACTTATCCGTGTTGGCTTTTGTTTGAATATGCTTGTGTGTCAACTTCACTTGTTTCCGCGATCGTCGTTGCCATGGTTGTGTACGTTGGGGTGGAGATTTCTAAATAAGAGCGAGGTCCTGTTGGGGTATGGCCGTGTTTGTTTTGGTGCTTTCAAATATCAACATTGTTTGGCAAAAATTGCTTAGTGCACCTTTAAAGGGGTCATATGACGTTGCTAAAAAAGAACATTATGTTGTGTATTTGGTGTAATGAAATGTGTTTATGCGGTTTAAGGTTCAAAAAACACATTATTTTCCACATAATGTACATTATTGTTTCTCCTCTATGCCCCGCCTTTCAAGAGAAAGGAAAACTTGAAATCACATCATATGACCCCTTTAAAGTACACAGTTGTAATTTTTGTGTAAATGCAATTAATGCCACCTCTTAGCAGCATTAAACAGTCTTTTTGTAAAAATGCCTAAATGCAACCTCAAAAGTGCTTATATGCCACCTTTACAGTGTAAATTTGGCATTTGTCCTTCATTCTCATATAGATTGCCCACTTTTCACAATCCAGTCAAATTTTTTCTTATTGACTATCCTTTTTCCCTCAGAAACACTGCATCTTTCAGCCTCAGTGATACCTGGACCCTTGACACTGTTACATAGGTTGTTTGTCAGGTCGTCCACGATGTCCAGCAGGAAGGAGAAGTCAGCCACATTGTACATGTGGATGTCATCGGGATCTGAAGCAATGGATCTCAGCTCATTCTCATCTGCGTTCTTCACACCTGGAGATCAAAACCACAAAAGACATGTTAAAGCCCAATTAAACTCTTTACCCATTGTCTTTCACTGAGCAATCATATTAGACCAAGTCTTATTGACCGAAAGGGGAAACCAGTTCTTACCAATGGCATACAGCTCAATGCCCTGGTCGCGTAGGTTCTGAGAGTTGACCATGATGTCATCCTGAGACTTGCCATCAGTAACCAGGACGCCGATCTTCCGAGAGTTCGGACGCATTCCAACATTAGCCTTGAAATTGTTCTGAAGGATGTAGTTTAAAGCAAGGCCTGTGGAATAAGAGAATGTTAGTGAGTCTAAATACACAAGGTGGGCATTAAACTTAATGAAGACCAGTATTAACCCCATAAAGCTACTGTGTCATATTTGATATGCACATTTCTATGGCCTCTTTGCTGAAAAAAATGCTGATAGTTTATACTTTTGACTGATAGTTTATACTTTTTAGCAAATAAAAGTTCTTTTAGTATTACTGTACAAACGTCCACCTTCAGCTTGTGTCTTTTTGCTGTGTAATCTTTACTGATTTTTATAAGTAAAAGTAGGAATAACTTGGATATTGTTAGAAATATTTCAAGATAAACACTCACTCGACTGAAGAAGCATTTTACTTGATTATCAAGACATAATTTTTTAGAAAAATCATGTTAAAATCTCATCATGTTCATCTCTCAATCATCATTGTATTGCATTGAATTATATGTTTTGATCATCAAACTAAGCATTTAAATACCATCTTACTAAGACATATTATTGGGAGATAATACTTAAAAATAAGTGAAACCGGTCCCACTTTATATTAAGTGGCCATAATACCTGTGTACTTACATAGTAACTAGATGTGTACATAGTATGTAACCACAGTGTAAGTACACATTGGTACATAGTATCTACAGCAGTAATGTTTGTGTAACTACACATATGTAACAACCCACTGAATGGTATGTGTAAATACAAATGTGTAACAGGACATTGGTAACAACACTTTTTGCTAATGAAAGTACAAGTGAGTGTAGTTACAGAAATATTACAGCTCTAGATACTATGTACCAATGTGTACTTACACTGTGGTTACATACTACGTACACATCTAGTTACTATGTAAGTACACAGGTATTAGGGCCACTTAATATAAAGTGGGACCCAATTATAATTCTCAAAAAAACACACAGGATTTGTTCTTCTTTAGATATTTTCTAAAGATTCAATAAACTGTTCCATTTTTAATTGGAGCTGCAATCGACAACATCACGAGTGGAAGACAAACTTCTACAAACTTTAGGGTTTCACCACAAATCAAGTGTGTTGGGTCTGTCATATAGATCAGAATCAAACATGATATACCAGTCAGAGTGTTTCCTCCTTTGTAGGGTAGATTGGCCACGGCATCCAGCAGCTCTTTTCTGGTCCTGTGAGAGTTTAGGTGCCACTCAGTCTTTGGGTCTCCACTGTATTGTGCCAGACCTAAAAACAGACAGATACAGTGTTCATAATTACACCCAGCAGAAGATGCCATTGCTCAGAAGTTTCTCTTTTATAGTTCAAAATACCTCTTTTAAATGTTTAAAGAGAATGAAAGCGTAAATTGGCATACAGTAAGAGTACACAGCTGTAAAATACATGTGCGCTGCAGATCATTTTTTATGAGAATTGATGAGGTTATACTGAGATATGACTTTTAATTGCAAATGTAGTCTATTGGATTACTCAGTCAAAGTTTGAGACATTGTTGGGATATCTTCTGAAACTCTAAAGCACACATGAGATGACAAGGGTCTTTTTTCTCATGAGAAAAGTCTGAGAAACATGAGACTTGAGAGAGAACTCAAGAGACTTCATATGCATGCCACTATTGTGGATCTTCTCACTAATATGGGGTTCAGGATAAATTTCTCTTACCGATCTGGACACGATCCGGCCCGATGTCAAAGACACCCACCATGCGAGCAATGAAAGACCTTATAGTCTTGAAGTTCAGACGACCAATGCTCCAAGATCCATCAACAAGCAGGATGATATCGGCCTGGGCTGTGGTTTTGCACATTACCTCTGTTTGACCAGAGAACAATTCAATCAGTCAGTTTATTATTATAAAATGCATAATAATAATCATTCAAACTAGTGTTAAGCAGATGTGAACATTCAGATTGATTGTGATTTGTGATAAAGGATGCAGATAAGAGTTTAGACACACTTGGACACACAAAACATTCACACAGTCATGCAAAGCATGACAAAATTGTTTATTTGGCATTTTGAAAACACTTTTTTTTTTACATTATATATTAAATAACATCTTTTAAACTGTAAACTCCATTTCTGTAAGCGATGTCTTTGTCTGTGTCCCATCTTGCTGTCTCTCCAAACAACTGAATGAAGGGGAAAAGAGAGGGAAAGTGTCGCCCACCTGACCCTGCTCAAAAAGAACATGTTGCATAATTGTCTGATTTATAGATTATTCCCTCAAGCATCAAAACAAAAGTATAACACTCTGTGGATATAGCCAGCTAATATTTTAAAATGCTGTGGTTATTATGTTTATGAAATGTGTTAGACATACCTGTATGGAAATTTCTTAGTAGTGATAAAATTAATTATTTAAGGTTTCAAAAAATATTCATTGGCCAAGCAGGTGCTTGTCCTCAATTGTAATGTGGAATTCTCACATTTAATTTACAACCCCTTGTACCCTAAACACTAAAGCCAGGAACATACTTTAGGCAAGTAAGCAAACACAGATGCAAAACGGTAAATGCATTGCACACACACAATCTCGATGCATTTGTCTCCACAAGCGAAACTAAAATACAAGATAACTAAAACATGCCTTAAATTGAACACTTCACCTTCAACAAGCTAATGATTACAATCAAAAGTCAGCAATCTTCCTTCTCTGCATTATTAGAAAGCCACTGTGAAATGTTCTCTTTAAAGAAAGATGAATAATATAATGTTCATGAATAACTGAAAGGATCTACCCTTATTTTCTACCGTAATAGATTTTAAAATAAGGTAACACTTTACTTAAAGCCTTTATGTATTATGCATTATAAAATTACTTTTAATGCATTAATTGTGCCTTGTAATGCACCTTATAATGCATTATACAATCTCACAAATAATTGTAACCACAGTTAATACATTATAACACTTATCAATTCATTGTTACACTTTGCATTTTAAATTTGGTTATAATTATTTACAACAAGATTACATTTAGTCATTTAGCAGATGCTTTTATCCAAAGCGACTTACAAATGAGGGCAATGGAAGCAATCAAAATCAACAAAAGAGCAATGATATACAAGTGCTATAACAAGTCTCAGTTAGCAGCCAGTGCAAACTGATGAACAGAGGTGTGTCGTGCATTCTTTTCGGCTCATTAAAAATGTATCTTGCTGAGATTGTAAGATATAATGTATTACCACATTATGAATAATTATAATGCATTATACCCTCTAATGACACTTTATACTGCCTTTTGTGTCACTTTTGATCAATTGTCTTTGTATTCATTTAATTCCCTCCCAAAATAAATAAATAAATCTTACTGACACCAAATATTTGAACGCTAGTGTAATTGTTTATACATAGTGGAGCCAAAATATCATAGACAATATTGAAAATCTGCAATCAAACATCTAATTTAACACTGAAAATAACCTGAAACTTTTTGGATTCAAAGCAGTTTAAAGCAAAGAAACATTGTGACAATAAATGAATAAGAAGTATATTTAAGTCACTAGGTCACTAATCAAATCAGCAAATTTGTGATACTGACCATGTTAACGCCTTTGTTCAAATTTTCAGCACAAAAGATGTCCTTTCATGCAAGATAACATGATCATCAGCTTTTAAACAAATATGCAGAGTTGAGTTGGCTTGAGTGCTGCTGTCATTAAAGCAAACATTCATCCCAAATACCAATACATTTGAAAAATCATGTTATTTGATTTATTTATTAATTTATTTCAATTCAGAGGTAACAGAAGGTCCCAAATGTTGATGTTAGTTGAGGCATTAACTAACAACAAGCACTACATTTGTTACAGTATGTATTAATCTTTGTTAATGTTAGTTAATAAAAATACAACTGTTCATTTTTAGATCATATTAATTATTAAATAATATTCACGATACCACTTTTAGGGCCCTATTTTAACGATCTAAGCACATGGTCTAAAGCGCACGGTGCAGGTGCACTGAGGGTGTGTCCGAATCCACTTTTGCAGAAGCATTTTAACTATGACTTTGGGAACCAGTGAAAACCATATACCAATATTTCCATAGAACTAGTCCAAAAGGCCACAGTATTGTCGTTTTTGTGCTTTTTTGTTAGTGCCTGTCGCATGCAAATGGCAAGCCAAGCGTTACACCTCAGAGCTCTTCTCTGGGAATATTTGCTTTTCCCTCTCCTGCCAGTGTCGGTCGGCCGACCCTCACCATCGGATCTGTTTCTAATTAGGAGTAACATTCCAGACCAGGGTTAGCCGACCATGTGCAAAGCTTTCATTCTGTATGTCACTTTTTTCCTAACCAAGTTGTAAAGCATAAGTAATTGTGAGCAGATAATTTTTCTCGCTCTTGAAATTCAAGAGTTCTTCCACAAGAAGGTAGAGACATGGCTACCATGTGGTGCAGTCACCCAGTCTGCTCTTTCACAACACAATTAGCTGTGCTGAAAGGTATTTGCCATTACTCAAAGCACTACTCTGTAGCCTACTTTTCCGATTCAAAACTGACAAAGAACTTATGCTGTGTTATATATGAATTCACTAAATGCATAGCAGACGCAGTATATTTGTTCCATCAATCCTCTGATAACAAAATGAATGCTGTATTCTAATTGTTTTGGAACTCAAGTAACATTCTACATATTGTATACTCTGTAGTACCATGAGATCTAATGGTTGGTTTGGGAGGGGTAAAATATCCTTCTCAGAAAGAGAGTAGTTTTTTTATTATTAATCTTACCTGAAATATCAAAGGGTGGGGGTTCAGGGGCGTCAGAGAGGGTGGTCTTCTCCTCTCCAGCCAGTGGCATACTCTCTCCTCCATCAAACATACCAAACACACTCACTGACCACTTTTAGGGCCCTATTTTAACGATCTAAGCACATGGTCTAAAGCGCACGGTGCAGGTGCACTGAGGGTGTGTCCGAATCCACTTTTGCTAGTTTAACGGCGGGAAAACTGTCGGCGTGCCCGGGCGCATGATCTAAACGGGTTGTCCCTATTCTCTTAATGAGTAATGGGTGTTTTTTGGGCGTAACACACACACATATATACAGTATATACATATATACACACACATATATACAGTATATACATATATACACACACACATATACATATATATATATATATATATATATATATAAGAAAAATGCAAGAGAGAAG